CAGTAAGGAATCGAAAATAACTGCGACTAGCAGTATCCACCTGATTATATGGGCGAGTTTCCATATTAAAAAAAATGGAGTGCTTGTAGAAGAAAATAACTTCATCACGAGCTCATATTGCTACAAGAATTGTCTGGGAAGAAGGTTTTTTCCGATCCATGATAATGATTCCATGGTCTTCGCTGGGCTTCCTGATGGAAACGTTGAACTCCCTCTTAGCTTGGGAGACTCTGCCGGGAAGAGTAATCTCCGCGCTGCATATTGCCGCCCGACACCCAGGAACACCTCCCAGCTACGATGAGGCGGTAAACCGTTGGGATGGATGTATGATTATGTAAACTTAAAAGATTGAGTTAACGGATCTATACTATGGCAGATCCGTTCCATTCGGTTTGTGAAAAATGACTGCAACGTTTGGAAAAAGCAGTCGTTTTTTGTTTTCCCATGCGGCTTTTAAGCGAGTTATATTTGGACAGGTTATCGAATATGTCACAATATGTAATTCCAGAGTTGTGAAAAGATTGGCAATAATACAAGACAATTCACGAATCGGAATGGCCAATTAGTGCAAATACCTAAATGAAGAGGAATTAAACTCACCTGGGACAGAAGTATCTCACCTTCCATGCAAACTGCTCATGACAAAGAACGCTAGTCCAGCTCTATAGCTGTTTTCTGGGTAGAGGTAAATTCTCGTCTTTTCTCTTCCGCGGTGAAACTCGGTGTCAAATGGCTTCTACATGTTGTTGCTGGCTGAAAATGCTGGGTTTACAAAAGGTTCCACATCCTCTATGAAGCAGAGAAGTTGCGCCATCTTGCTTTTTTATTTCTCTCCAAATAGTTTTTCTCTCTCTCTTTGAATTCTCTCTGAAATTTCTCTTTGAAATTTCTTTCTTTTCCAGCGTCAAGAAACGTTAACCGACACTCATGCACACCACTGACTCACAGCATCAGCAGTTTTAAGGAATGAAAATATAACGAATACAGATGAAGTTTTCTTTAATCTAATTTAGGTTGAAGAAGGAATTTTGAAACTGCTTTATTGATTTTTCGATACACAAATAAAATGTCTTTTATAAGTTTAGAGTTAAATCTGTAGCAATACAAGTTTTATGCACGTTTTATTTTAACGAACGGCCATGTTGCTACCTTTATTCCCTTTTTAAAAGTTGTCTATTCACGCATATATCGCAGTGGCTAGAGGTATCCTGCACTTTGGTTTTTTTTATACACTCGCGCCCTTTGGTTCGATCCCGCTCCTTAGGTTCACCAAACCTTCCATCTCTTCGGGTTTGGCAGATTATTATCAGACTTATCTGGGAGAATTCCAGCACTGACTTGATACATCATTGAGTCACAATGTATAGGGCATTCAACACACATTGTATGCATTACATCAACACGAAACGATTCTCGATGAAGTTGAATGCATAGCGCTCCATTCAGAGCCAGGAGCCATCAATGCCAAAAGCTTTATTCTTCATCCTTTACCAATCCATCTATTTACTTTGCATATGATGACCTTAGGATTCCTAAGAAACCAAAAGAGTTAGGAAATGATGACCCTGCACTCGAATCTACCAATCTAAACAGAAAATATAGAACTGTATTAAAGTGTTAGCATCGTCTTCATGCGATCGTATTGGGAACAGCTTCACTGTCGCGCTACCAGTTTGGCTATTCGGAAACATATGTCGATAAGGCCACTCTTCTAAAGATCGTTAGTTATTGGTATCATAATGGAATTGAAAATCGTCGCTCTTGCTGCAGTGCAATGTCATTCATAGCCAACCACGTAGCACTTTTTGCTTCACCGTAGGCAGTTTAGCTACTTACAGGAAGCCAGGATATGCTGTTAAGTGACGGTGACGGTAGCCTTCTAGCTTGGCATCCAGATAGGAACATAGAAGCCGTTGTCAGTTTGGGCGATCCTACTAAGTGATCACGGAGCGGATAGCGTACTGGTAGTAACACCGATCATCACGAGCGCAATGCTGGTTCGATGTCGCTCCCGGCTCACTAGGTCCTTAATCCCTTCGTGGTTGGAAAATTGGTGCCGGATTTGTCTGGGAAATAAAACCACTCTACGCAATCAAACTGGGACCAATCCAGTTCGGTTATCTCAATACTCGAGGGAAAATAGACTCGGCAAGCATTCTATGAAATTCGAGATGAAATGAAAATCCTCGAACCGCAACAGAAGCCACACGTAAAAGTCGGAAGACCTTCGTGGACGGCGGATGCGAGGAAATATATTGAATGTGAGAAGTGTTGGGATCCAGTCGCTTAAAAATACCTAAGTGATCAACCACTATTGTATTTCATACTACATCGCAGTTCTGCACTCTAGGATAGCTCTCACCAAGAATGCTCAGATGATCTCATCCGTAAAACTTTCCAAATACTATTTTATTAGTACCATTGAGAACAAGGACGCTAAGAGTTCACTTTTCATAGGCCGTCTGTTGAAATGTCGCTAAAATTGTCTGCTCAGAAATAAGAAGAATTACTATTTGTTCTTGTCGTACGAGTCTTCGGATCCAAACTGGTGTTTAATGGAGAACTAGTCAAACAATTTGTGTGCTTTCGTTCACTGCAACGGTTCTTCGTTTCAGAACGCTCTCTCTAGGTGGAGAAAAGCTGCACGTGCCTCGGAATTCGTTTTGTGGTGGCGGTTACGTTGGCAATTTGTTGTCAATGCGATCCGGTGAGAGCTCTAGAAAAAACACCACTCGACTATTTGAGAATCCAAATCTGTTCGCCAGAGCTCTGGTGAGTTATTTAACTGATCTTCTACCCATGTTTTTCAATCTTTTTCAGCTCATCTTTTTTCTGAGATTCTTGTCCCAGAATTTTTCAACTGTGTAGTTTCTGTATTTTTCTTATAGTTGATATCACGTGCACACTGAGTTTTAGGAGTCACTTCTACCTATATTGATATCCCAACAACCTCTTAAAGGGCTCTCGGTTCTTCTCCTATCGGTGTTTCAACTAATTTTTACATTTTATTTGGGTGTTATGTATAGGAATTGAATTCGCTGGATACTGAATAATGCGTTTGTTAACTTAGTTTGGGCCAAATATGGTGTTCGTCACTAAACAGCAGTAAACAGTAATAATCTTATTTCTTTTTCCATAGAAATAGAATTCACGGAATTTCTGATGGTTCGAGCCTAAAAAATACCTACGGGAAGTCACAAAATCAAAATCATCAGAAACTTCCTGAAGAAGAGCAAGTAGAGCAAATAACTTGTTTGGAAGAATTCGTTCCACTACTAGTTTTATTGGTATTAAAAGTGAAATTAATGTTATTTACATAAGTGAAAGTGAAAATTTCATGGTTAGATATTCACAGTTAGACCAAGACTTTGATAGGCAAAGAGTAGTCACTGTTAGGACAGGGGTGAAGAACCTTTCAAGACGACGACCGAGGGTAGATACGAGGGTAGAATGTCGTTGTGGCGCCATCTGTATATACTTTATTATTCAGCAAGGGAATAAATTCGTACCGATTTCAGTCGGAGAAGCTTACCGGTCCATGGATCGAACACGCCTTCGAGAAGCGAGAATGCATCAAATTTGTCTCTCAGAAAGATTTTCCAGACAGGTAAGACTTGCCAGACAGTCGTTCTTCACTAGACATGTATAACCGATGCGTATTGATTGGAGGTTCTAGATAGCATAGATCAATATGTACCTAATGCATATCTACCGTGATTCATTTCCATATGATTGTATTTTTTAAGACGTTCTTTTCTGGAGAAAGTCCACATTTTTGCAAAGGTGATAGTAACCATGAATCGCAACTTTACGTCTTCACTTTCAATGATGTACTTTTCCTTATGCACGATTCGATTTAGAAATCCTTCCAATACAAAAGCCACTTTGGTTCAAAAATTCAATGTATCTCTACTTATGGCGGATTTGAATACACTGAACTAATAGTCATTTGCGCGTGTGGCGCAGTGAACGGAGGCGTCCTGCAACACACGCGTGGAATCAATCCCCACGCTCCTGGTCCGCCAAGCATTTCATTCCGCCGGGGTCGGCAAATTAGAACCAGACGCGTCTGGGAGGATAGCAGCACTGGCTCGGTAGGCCACCGCGAGTTATTGTAAAGGCCAGATATGTATTCAGTCACCTCCAAACAATGCTTAATGATATCGAATAGATGGGCCATCCCTCATAGATTGATCATCGCCGAGAGCTCTATGCTTTATTTTATTAATATTCATTTGTTTGATTGCTAAATGCCCATTTTTGTGGAGAGTCTAAAATTGATGAAAACCGTTACGTGGGCAGGTTTGCTTTATTTCGTTATGATTTTATAATTTCATTGATTTCTTGGTTTAGCACTCAAAATTACTCAAAAACTTCCATATTTGCTTCTCTTCTTTCTTGTCTTTTCTTGTGAATATGCATAATGTGGTTATATCACTTCCCATTTACCAGGCTTTCAGTTGCGGTATTCCATTCTTTAGAGGGGCGGGTAGCATAGTGGTAGTGAAGTCCGTCATCACAAGCATGGTGCTAGTTCGGTTCCGCTCCAGGCCAGCCAAGCCTCTCATCTGTCCGGGCTGGGAAACTTGGTACCGGACTTGTTTGCGAAAATGAATCTGGATATGCACTATATAAGAAGGACATGGAACCTTGTGCTAAAAGGGTTTTAATGACGCACATGGTGCTTCGTTCGATGTCTTTATCTTTCAGCAATATTGTCATATCTGGTACTAAAATAGCCTCAGCTATTCCACCAAAATGACAACTCGCGATCCTTTTGTGTGGGTCTACATTCACTTCATATTCTTGTGGCCTACGGAGTGACGAACTGTTAACTATAATGGAAAAGCGTTCTAAGCGTCTGAATTCAAATGTTGAGTTTGAATACAATCCCTTTACTATGAACTGTTGCGATAAATATAGGTGTAGAATTTGAAAAGAAAAGTTTTCCCTTCCTTTGTGGTATGAAGCAGAGATCTCTCAGAAATCAAGCATCAACATTAAAAACAGAAGTTGTTATGTTCTGACTTGAGCTGTTCATCCTTAGGAATTCTCCAAAACTCCTTCTCCGCTATTTTACGCAAGTAGTCCTTCTCTGAGACGTAGCGAAATTCATTAATTATTAACACTCTGAACCGTTCGAAATCACATATTAGTTCTTGTTTCTCATCCTCACTGTCCGGCTCGACACTTTTCTTCTTTACAGGCGAGATGAAATCAAGATGAGCCCGTACATCAAAGCGATCTATTAGTACAGTAGGGTCACCCTGCCACTTTCGTAATATATTCTTGTGCTCTGCAGCTTTTGCGATACTTCTATCAATGTGTATTATACACTTGCGGCCATGCAGTTGCATAAACTGTTTTGGATCTTTACGCACGCTATCGTAGAATCTCCTACGCTTCTCGACTCTTTCCGAGCAGTCAACGATCCTTGCCCGCATGATCTTCTCCTGACGACGAGCCTCATGCCACATCGTAACAAACTCAAACTTAGGTAATTAATTATTATGTTTAATTAAATTTATTAATTTAAATTTAATTTAATTATGACCGCAAGTGTATAATACACACTGATAGATGTATCGCAAAAGCTGCAGAGGACAAGAATATATTACGAAAATGGCAGGGTGACCCTACTGTACTAATAGATCGCTTTGATGTACGGGCTCATCTTGATTTCATCTCGCCTGTAAAGAAGAAAA